CAGACATTGATCCCGAGATCACCGACACGGAACGACAGAGAGCCAAAGCCCTCATCTCCAGGCATCTTCCCAACAATCACACCACTGCTCCTCATCCTTCTCTTGCCCCTCTTCCTGCAGTCAACCTTTCCGACATATTCCGTCAAGAGGTTGAACGAGTTGCTGCAGGCGAACCCCGCAGACAAGGGATAGATGTATCACGCTATGAGGCCCCCAATGAACCAGCCATTGAGAGCGACGAGGCCACAATGAGGGAGGCGCTGCGGAACGCGTACATCTCGAGCACTTTCCTGTCAGATCGACAGGCCAACCTTGAGTTGCTCGACGAATTCGGCAAGAATGCTTGGCTTATCGGCAATTCCCAGACAGAGGAGATCCTCCAAGGGCTAGAACGTGAACTGGCCGGCCTTAGATCTGAGGCCGAAAATGTCAACAAAGCTCGGAAAGCGGTGCAGGAACAGTCCAAGGCCGAACTTTTGACGCTTCAGGAAAATTGGAAGCGAGGTATAGGCAAAATTTTGGAGATACAGGTCGCTACCGACCGACTGCATCGCCAAACCCTTGAACCTCAACGCCGACCTGCAGCATGAGTCTCTTGCCGAGCCAGACAAGAATACAGCAGACTGTCAGGCAACGTTGATAAGCAGGGATACGGCGTGACGCGGACGTTGCTGCAGTAGAACCGCAGACGTCTGCACGGAGCAGATGCGGAGAATGGCCGGTCGCACAATTCGGGATAACTGAACGCGAGCTCTCCGCATGGGAGCTTGCGATGCCAACCCCCGGATTTCGAGATGGCAGCCAGCAATGCTGCTCACAGCCGCCAGGGATCGACGAGACGGTTGGTGGCCTTGGAGCACTCAGCACAACTTTCCTCCAATTTCCGCCGACACGTTTTGACCTGAAACTGTCTTCTCAGCAGTACGAGGCGAGGTCAGTTGAGAGTCGTCGTCGGCCAGCAATTTGCCAAAATTCCGAGTTGCCTGTTGTGGGCCCAGTTCAGAGTCTACTATTTCGAGACCAAGAAGGGGAGCCGCACGCAGCGGAACAGTCCACGGGAACAGTGCGTTCGCCCGAAAGGATTACTACTGCACGTCCTTCCCAAACAGAACAACTTTTGCCTTTGCTTTTCTGATCTGGGTTGAGGCGCGGAGCACTATTCCCCGCTGTGCAACCATCCCTCCTCCACCACACCGAGCACCGCCGCTTCTAGGCCAACCAGGAGTGTCTCGCATCTCCAAACTTGACCGGCACTTCTTCTTGTGGTAGGCTGGAAATGTCGTCTCCAACTTCTATCTTACCCGAATCAGTTTGGCCTCCGCTCTCCCCGCAAATGAGGAGAGCGTATCCACGCCCTCGTGTCCGCAGCCTGCACATCAGCAAAAGCGGCGATCTCGCGGCCACCACCGCTTCACCCGGCACTCAGCTTATGCAGGATTGTGCTGCCCTAGTCAGCGTCTCCCGTGCTTTCCTGCGGTCCCGTGTCCTAGTGGCCTTTCCCCGCGTTTCTTGCATTGGACGGCTCCCTGCCACAGCGGGTGGGGTGGGGTGTCGAGCCGTGCTCTCCGCAGGTGGCTCCAGTGATGGTAGCTCGCTCCACTAACCCTTGGTCCTTGGATATCCGCTGCCTAGTCGACGTCGTTCCTGTGCCGTGCAACTACAGGACACTTTTTCGGGAGCAACGTCACTCGTTCACCGTTTGCTCAATACGAGGCTTTTTTTCCAGTGCTTCCAAGGTCCACGGCAGTAAACAAGCAGTCAAGCTGCACAGATATTGATATGATCCTCGCTGGGGCTACCTGCCCCGTCGGGACTCTCGCTGATGCTAGCCACCTTCAGCTGAGGGGCATCACAATATCCCGGTCAGCCCGAATGTGAGCTACCCATGGAGCTGCCGCTCTTTCATGCAACCTCAGGTACACCCTGTTGACATCGGCACCCTGGGCACCTGCAGCTTCGAGGATCCCGGCGTCTCGTACTTCGCAGGTTCTCAATTCGCTTGGACGTAGATCGGGTCCTCTCGGCGCTCAACTGCCAGCTTGAGATCCTCGTCTGCCTGAACCTGATTGACCAAACCCCGCATACTCAACTCAAAATCAGCTCGTCTCCAGTTCTGCTCCAGATGATCATCTTACCGGGGTGCTCAAACATGGAGCAAGACACTCTCATTTGCGGAGCCTCGAGTACGCGTCTGCGCGACCCCCTCCTCTCCTCCCTCCACTCTTCCGAGAGGAGAGGATCAGGCAGGGTCTCGAGAATCCTTATAATGCTGAGCGCTGCCCTCTGATCTGTTCTCCTTTCTTTTCTCCAGCCCGCTCCTGGTTGAGCAGAATCAAGCATATTGACTTCGATACATTGAACAGTCGTTCTTTGGACAACGCCATCATGACGATCCCCGACGAAGTTGATATCATCGTCTGCGGTGGTGGCAGCTCAGGATGTGTGCCAGCTGGACGTAAGTCATGTTCGACGGCAGGCGTCTCGGTGATACACGGCTAACACCATCGTAGGTCTGGCCAACCTGGACCACAACCTCCAAGTCCTGTTGATTGAGGGAGGAGAGAACAATCTCAACAACCCATGGGTGTACCGTCCTGGCATCTACCCAAGGAACATGAAGCTCGATTCCAAGACGGCGACCTTCTACTACTCTCGACCCTCAGAGTGGCTTGATGGACGTCGAGCCGTCGTCCCATGTGCTCATATTCTCGGCGGCGGCAGCTCTATCAACTTCATGATGTACACCCGCGCCTCCGCTTCGGACTACGACGATTTCCAAGCCAAGGGATGGACCACCAAGGAACTTCTTCCATTGATGAGAAAGCACGAGACCTACCAACGTGCTTGCAACAATCGTGACATCCACGGTTTCGAAGGCCCCATCAAGGTCTCTTTTGGCAACTATACCTACCCGATCATGCAAGACTTCCTTCGGGCCGCCGAGTCTCAAGGCTTCCCCGTCACAGACGATCTCCAGGATCTTGTGACTGGCCATGGTGCTGAGCACTGGCTCAAGTGGATCAACCGTGATACGGGCCGCCGATCTGATGCTGCCTCTGCCTACATCCATGCAACTCGTGCTAAGTACCAGAACCTTCACCTCCAGTGCAACACCAAGGTCGACCGAGTGGTTATCGAAAACGGCACCGCAGTCGGGGTTTTGACCGTGCCAACCAAGCCATGCAACGGTCCGAACCCTGAACGCAAATTCTGGAAAGCTCGCAAACTCATCATTGTCAGCTGTGGTACCTTGAGCTCCCCTCTGGTTCTGCAACGATCTGGCATCGGTGACCCAGAGAAGCTCAGGAAGGCAGGTGTCAAGTGCATCGTCGATCTTCCAGGTGTCGGTCTCAACTTCCAGGACCACTACCTGCACTTCGCCACCTATCGGGCCAAACCTGAGACCGAATCCTTTGATGACTTTGTCCGTGGCGTGCCCGAGGTCCAGAAGGCCGTCTTCGACGAATGGAACCTCAAGGGCACTGGTCCGTTGGCCACGAACGGCATCGAGGCCGGCGTCAAGTCACGTCCCACGGCAGAAGAGCTTGAGGAGATGAAGAAGTGGCCGTCACCCGAGTTCGTCACCGAGGGAGGCTGGGACAGCTACTTCAAGAACAAGCCCGACAAGCCAGTCATGCACTACTCTGTCATTGCCGGTTGGTTCGGTGACCACTTGGACATGCCAGCCGGCAAGTTCTTCACCATGTTCCACTTCTTGGAGTACCCGTTCTCGCGTGGCTTCACCCACATTGTCTCCCCAGACCCATACGAGGCTCCGGACTTTGATGCTGGCTTCATGAATGACAAGCGTGACATGGCGCCTATGGTCTGGGGCTACATCCAGTCTCGTGAGACTGCCCGTCGTATGCAAGCCTATGCTGGTGAAGTTACCGGCATGCATCCTCACTTCAACCACGATTCGCCGGCCCGTGCACTGGATATGGACGTTGCCACCCGCAACGCGTATGGTGGACCGAACCATATCACTTCCAACATCGTCCATGGAAGCTGGACACTCCCACTCGACCAGGGCGAGCAGCCATCGCTGAACTTCCTCAACTCGAACAAACATCCGTTCCGTGCACCACTCAAGTACAGCAAGCAAGACGGTAGGTGTTGCAGTTCCCCCAGATTAACCCCAATTGACTAACCTGTCTACAGTCGCTCACATCGAGAAATGGGTCCAGCGACACACCGAGACTACGTGGCACAGCTTGGGTACATGCTCGATGGCTCCTCGCGAGGGCAACAGCATTGTCAAGCATGGTGTCTTGGATGAGAGACTGAATGTTCACGGCGTGAAGAACTTGAAGGTCTCTGATCTTTCAATCTGCCCTGACAACGTCGGCTGCAACACATTCTCCGTAAGTCCATCCATTCTGATCCGATGCTTCATCAAGACTAACGCGATCACTCAGACTGCTCTCCTCATTGGCGAGAAGTGCGCTGTCCTCTCTGCCGAAGATCTCGGCTACAGCGGTGCTGCTTTGGACATGAAGATTCCCCCATATCATGCTCCTGGTGAGAACGTTGGTCTTGCCCGTTTGTAAACGAGTCGGGCGGCGATGGAAAAGGCGAAAAGCCGTAGGCAACCTCCAGGGATGAGTTGATAGTTCAATGACAAACTCCACCATTATTCATCATCATCATCATCATCATCATCATCATCATCGTGCTTTCATGAGCAAACTTGTGCGCGGGCATCCGTCTTCAGCTTTGTCGTAGCAAGGACGTCTACGTCGGCGGTATCGCCGCGGAAATACAATGAATGAAAACAATGCTTTTGTGTCATTGTGGCGACAGCCCCCACTGTCGCCGGCGTTTCCTCATCGTAACTTTGTACATCATACAGGGCCTTGCGCCCGCCCTGTCTCACCGACGCCCAGCTCCCCCTCCCCTCCTCTCCCGACCGCCTCCACCACCACCACCGACGCCCATCATCCCGGCTGACCACCACCCCCACCGCCACCGACACCAACGACAACAACCACCACCCGAGGCTACTCCTCCTCCGCCTCCTCGTCCTCCTCCTCTTCCTCCTCCACCTCCACGTCCTCCTCGCCCTCCTCTTCATCGAGCCCGGCATCGAGGGCGGAGCGTTTCGTGCCAATCAAGGTGAGGCGTAGCCCCACCTTCATGGCAGCTTCTTGAGCAGCCGCGTCTGCGGCCCTCTGCTGCTCCGCCCTCTGCGCGGCCTCGACTCGCCTCGCCAACTCCTTCGACGACGTCCCCGAGTGGTGACGGCGGCCCGGCTGCCGCTCGTCCACGCGCGGGAGAACAATCTGGATGCCATGTGATTGTCTCACATGGCGGGCCAGAGTGTTCTGCCCGTCCTTCATGCCCCTGTGGTTCTCGCACAGGAGACACTTCCAGGGTCTCGGGTCGCCGTGGACATACTTTGCCCAGGCGAAACAGTCCTTGTTGAGGTGCCCCTCAAAGTTCGACGCGTTGGGGTTGTCCACCAGCATGTGGGCGAGGTCTGCCGCACGTAGCTGGTGATCGCGTTGCAGATGGCCCGTGAGCCGGCCACGCTCATTGGTGACAAAGCTGTCACCGAGCAGGCAGGTCCACGGGCATCGCTGGCCGCGCTGGTGCTCGGCGAATTCGACCAACCCGCCCGCCGTGTTCATTGCGAAGGTCGTTCGACCTCCGCTGACTCGCACGGTGAGCGGGTTGGCGCTCGCGTTGCCCCTGGTGGGGCGAGCAGCGCTAGCGCAGCGCGAACTAGAGGCACCGCCGACAGGATTGTTGGCGGATCGGAGGCGGTTGGAGGTGGGCCGTCTGGTGGCAGACGGAGGCGGCATGCTGGTGTCATTACCAGCAGCCCACGGCTGACTGGGACCGGGTGCCGACGGGATCACTTGGGAACGGCCGGTGCTGACAGTAACATCAGCCCCGGGTCCCGACGAGGACGAACCACCAGCAATGTAATTGCCAGTGGCGACCGTCGGGCGAAAGTCTCCCAAGGTCCCATCGTGAAGGGTGCCGTGCACCCATTCATGCACCCAGTCCCGAAATTCAGTCCGTCGCTCGTACTCGTCCGTATCTTCGTGGACGACAGTAACGTCGTCCAGCGTGATACCAGCCCGGAGGAGCTCTGCCAACCAGACGGCGCGGTAGTCTCGGGCTCGATGCGTTCTCATCGAGTCTCCGAGCTCTTGCAACGTGGCCAGGTAGTCACGTGTGTATTCTTCCGGGCTCCTGGTAGCCACGATGATCACTCGCGCCAACTCAACCTCCAGATTGAGCCGGCTGATCCAGAAGTGAGGCATGCCTTCGGTGACGACCTGGTCGACATAATGGCGGACGACGCGCTGGTACACTTGCTGGTAATTCAACCTCGGCTGTGCTTCCAAGTCTCTCAATGCTCGGTCAATGGCAAGGTCTTGTATGGTTCTCACACTAGCCTGGCCGCGAGCCATGGCGTCTTGTTCTTGGTTGAGATGTGCAAAGGTGGGGTTCAAGCTGGACGATGAGGCTGGTACACGGTCCGGGCTAGTCGGAACTCGTGCTGTCCAAGGCTGAGAAGGCTCAAGTGAAGGCTCCGACGACGCAAGAGGCCACTGTGAAGGCGCGAAAGAAGGCTGTGCAGACTGCGTATGCTGTATGGCGGACTCTGTGTTGCCAAAAGCGTGTGAAGTTGAGGTATGATATGGTTGAGAACCGGGAAGAGAAAGTGATCTGGGCTGCGGAGGCTGCGGAGGCTGCGTAGTCTGTCCTTGATCGCGAACGAGGCCTGAAGCAAAGGTCTGGTGTGATTGAGACCCCGAGGTCTGGCACGATTGAGAACCTGAGCTTTGGCGTGACTGAGAACCTGAGGTTCTGTATGATCGAGAGCCTGAGGGCTGGTGTGATTGAGAGCCTGAGGGTTGGTGTGATTGAGAGCCAGAGCTTTGGTATTGTTGAGAGCCTGAGGTCTGATATGATTGAGAACTTGAGGCTCGATATGATCGAGAACCTGAGGTCTGGTGTGATTGAGAACCGGGAAGAGTGAGTGAATTGAATTGTGAAGGCTGTAGAGCCTGTTCTTGATCGCCGAGAAGGTCTGAAGGTAAGGTAAGGTATGATTGGGAATCGGGAACCGCAAGTGATCTGAACTGTGAAAACTGCGCAGCGTGCTGTTGACCGCCAACGAGGCTTGAAGCTGAGTTTCGGGATGACTGAGGACCGGAAAGAGTAGAAGATCTGAACTGTGGAGGCTGCGAAGCTTGTTGTTGATCACTAACAAGGCTTGGAGCTGAGGTACGGTATGATTGAGAACGTGAAGGATCAACTGATCTGAATTGAGACGATTGTGACGCGTGGTGTACGTTGCCAGCAAGGGCTGACGCGGAGGTATGGTATGAGTGAGAACGCGAAGGCTCAAGTACTCTGAACTGAGGATCTTGCGAGGTGTGGGGTGTGTGGCCAGCAAGGACCGACGCTGAGGTATGGTGTGATTGAGGACGTAAAGGCTCAATTGATCTGAACTGAGAGGGTTGTGACGCGTGGTGTATGTTATCAGGAAGGACTGACGTTGACTTATGGTATGATTGAGGACGCGAAGGCTCAAGTGATCTGAACTGTGAGTCGAAGTTGCTGGGACGATTTTCTGAAACCTCGTTATTCTGACCACTCGGAGCAACAGCTGTGTGTGGGTGAATCAGGCTGCTAAAAGAGGTGGGTTGGACTGCGGTCTGCTGCTGAGAGTTGTATGTGCTTGCTTCGAAAGTATGAGAGGAAAAAAGTGTCTCGTTGTTCCCGAAATCCTGCGCGCTGAGCAGGTACTCTGTGGAAAGGGAACTCTCAGGCAGGGCTGGTAGGCTTGCAAGATCTGACGTCTGTAGATTTGAGTTGTTCTCGAGCGTCTGAGTGTCGAGTAGGAAATCTGTGTAAGAGAAATCTTCAAGCAGAGACGAGAAGTAGTCTGAGCTCTGTGCGTTCGAGTTGTTGGCTAGGAGCAAGGGATCAATAGGAAGATTGTCCAAGTCAATGTGACCATGAGGTGGAGATGTGTTGGTACGAGGGAATGTCTGCTGCCCAGAGTTGAAGACAGGTGCCGCATCATTGAGGGCAGCAAAGTCGTGGTCGAAAAAATATTCAGATTCACTTGTGCGCACCTCTCCGCTTGGCGGTGGTTGTTGTTGTCGTCGTCGTTGGCGGCCATGTTGGCTGTCGGAGTGAATCTCAGGTCACGGGATCAGGGTCGACGAGGCTGGACTTCCACGAAGCTAGGAGAAAAGGTTTCGCCTGGGCCGATCATGTCAGAAGTGCATTCAGGAGCAGAGATGTGGCTGTAAGAGATACCAGGATATTGACTTTCGTCTCGTCTGTCCTTCAGACTGAAGACAAAGAGGTGTGCACGAGAACCGTCAGTGCTAGGGGCAATGGACCTGGACTGGCTCGTGAACAGGCAGGTTTCCAGGTGCAGGAGGAGTTGCTGTCGTGTCTGAGGATCGTCTCGTTGATGACAAGGAGAAGCTAGGAAGTTGGCAATGACAATAAGAGGAAGTTGGAAACCAAGAAGGTCGTTCAAGAGCTTGGAAGGCAGGACAGTGAGATGGTCAGATGTTGTGTAAGTCAAGTTCAGAGGTGCGAATGAAGAGATTTTTATGTGTATGCGATCGAGGCGAAGCGTTTGAACCATAACGGCATTCTGCGCAGAGGAGCATTTCGTCGCCCAGCGGCGATGAGGTACTTCACTTCCTTTCACCAGGACCAGGAGATTTGACGGGTATGAGACCCTTTCGCGGGAGCCTCAGGGATGCGTGGTGCATCGATTGAGGATTATAATGAGACATCGACGGTGCCAGAAACTCAGCGTCTGTCCAGACACTCGGTCGGTTCATATGCCTCCATCACGGAGTGCGTGTGGAAGAGTCCAGGCGTCCAAGGGGCGCCGTCCACTTGGTGACTGAAGACTCTTAGTGAACCATGAACAAATGCCAATCATGGACCTGTTCAAGTCTTCTTCCACCGAACACGCCGAACCCATTGGGCCCACTTCTGGACATCTTCTCTCTGGCAGATGAGGTCGACGGTGTACCAATCTCGAGCAAGTTCTTCGTTCGAAGCCATTCGATGGACAAAGCTGTGGCAGGCCCGGCATAGCCATGCCACGCTGTTGAGTTGGTGCTCCTCATGCCAGTTCCTCTTCAGGACCTTTGCGTGGACTTGTTTTGGTATCAAATGATGGTAGGTCATTGGAACCCACTCCCTCTCACAAATCTCACAAGCATCGGTTCTGGTGTCTATCCACTTCGGCGGCGGAGTCGTCACAGCAGATATGTATCCTGAGAGCACAGGTGCCAGGAACGATTGGACGTCAGATCCGGGAGGCACGATGAGTCCATATGCTGTCAGGCTGTCGATTACATCTCCTGAGATGTGGCCAACGAGCTCCTCGAGGACAGTCAGAGTCAGGGGCAATGACCACTTCTCCGACAAAGCTTCGTTTCGGAGTAACTGATGCGAGAGATGCTGGAGTTGCTCAGGCAGACTACAGAAGATCTCCGTAGCTAGATAGTCAGAGAACTCAGCAAGCTCTGAAGGATCTGGCTCAGTGTGAGGGTTGGCAGCCTGGCTCGCTAGGGAGGTCTTCTTGGGCGATTTCTTTGGTCCTGTGGTGAGCTTCCCCACGACGGCCGAGAACAAACAGTCCCTGAACGCGTCATAGTTGTCATTGTCGTTGTCCGTCATTGGCATGGCATTCACAGATGGTGTCGGACCATCAATAGAGGAGGAATGAGGCAAGTTGAAGCTTTGACGCTAGCCACTTCCAGGAGGTAGGGCGAGCATATCCACGAGGCTGAGACGAGGCTGCGAACAAACATGGAGTACAACTTTGACTAATATTTAGACAGGAACAGGCTAGAGAAGGGGACAGACACCAGAAAGGTCTGCATGACTGGAAGCTCTGACACCAGGCCATTTCATTTGCAAAATAATCACAATCGAACACAGCCACCACCATTATGGGTATCATGGCACAGGCAAAGCCCATTGTTTCTCCACCAGAAAAGATAAATCCTGTGGTGAATTGTCTTCCCACCCACACAAGCGCGCTGCATGGAGAAGTCTCCATAATGGTCATCAGTCATTAGTTCCTACGCAGAGCAATGCGATGCCTCAAGTGCTTTTCTACCAGAACCCATTTGATCTCACAAATCTCTCCTGGTGCTCTTTCAAACTGGCCCAATGGACAAGTTCTTCCTCCTCAATCTCCTCGGGTGTCTGCAGCAAACCTCCTGTGTTGTTATCCGCAACACCTCGGAACCGGCCAGGCCCCAGTCGTTCGAGCTTGGAAAGGATGTCAAGGAAGACATGTAGGTATGCATTGACGCCCTCGGAGTCAAGCGTAGGCATGACACTCATTCGAGCACGTTTGGTCTCCAGAAGAGTTGAAGCGATGGTGCGGATCTTATTGCACTGAAACTTCCCGTTAGCTTTCCCGCTTGGAACATCGAGTCGATATGAACTTACGAAACTCATCCCATTGGGCTCCATATTGACTTGATTGATACTTTTCAGAAGAAGAGCCATGTCTCGAACAATGTCTTCCCGTTCGACAGCCATCATCTGTTCACCGGCATCCATCAAACTGTCGCTAGGAGTCCGACCTGCCATCTGGCGGTAACTGTGTTCCATACCTGTTGTTACAATTCCTGCTGTAGGAGAAGAGCTTGTGACGGACTTGTCAGAAGGGAATGTCAACTTGTCACGATCGACGATTTCATAGAGATTCCAGAACCTTTCGACGAGATATGATCGGGATGAGAGTTGAGTGGCGTAAATGTTGGCTTTCTGGATCTCGAACTGAATTGCTCTCTTTGATGGCAGCGAAAAGGACCCACGAGTACTGCCAGGGGTTTGAAGCGACTCAGCATCGGCTCCGTCGCGGTCATTGAACAGATGAGAATATGCCGACATGTCGGCCTGGGTGGGAGGCCACTCGCCAAATCCATTGGCCGGATTCAGTTGAAGTTCCTTCGGAGCATCCCGTGTCGCATCTTTGACGGTCTGCAGGGCGCGACGAATGATCTGTCGTTGACGGTCCCAGTCATAGACGTTGTTTGCGCCGAACGCCATTTCAAGAGCGGCCAAGAAATGGAATGCTCTGAAGACTTTGACGTTGAGATTGAATCCCACCATCTCTGAGACGACACCTCGAGGCTGAGGAAATATTTGCGATTCAGTAATGAATTCGTCATCGACCTCGACAGGTAACGGGGGCAGCATTTCGGCGTGTGAGACGGGCGGCATCAGCAGATCACCCTCAGCCTCGTCCAGCTGGCGAGCGGACATTGCACCGACAAACAGAAGCCAGAACAGCCGGCGCCCTGATTCCTGGTAAATGTGGTCGACTAGAGGGTACCGGGGCATATCACCGGGTCCATAGGGCGTTGCTGGAGTTTGGGATGGCCGGTGGATTTCTGGCCGATGGAACTGCAATTCGCGCATAATGATGGTACATTCGCCGAGATAGAGGCGCATACGGGGAATGTCCAAGGTATAACCGGCAGCTAGCCCAGTAAGATAGCTTGCGATGCCGTCGTAGAGGTTCATTGGCCGATCCATGTAGCCCAAGCCACGCGCCTCGACAAAAACCTGGTGGCATCGATCGATCAGAGCCCCAGCATTCGGAAACTGCGATTTGCCTGGCTCCGCAGTGAAGAGCTGCCTGGGTCTTCGGGGGAACGACGCGACCAGACATTCGACCATGGCCGCGAGCAATGCCAAGAAGTTGTGATTTGTTCTGTCTTCCCTCGCCTCGAAGGACCTGCGAAATGTCGGCTCGTGCGGAAGAGGTATCAGCGGGTGGATATAGGTGAAGTAGTCGTCCAACAGGATCTTCACCGTGTGCAAGTCGCATATCGACTCGGCAGACAAGGGGATGGGCGTCGATAGAGACGCCAGACTGTAGGCGGCGTCGTGGGTGGGGGAGCTTCTGGCCGCATCGAAGCTCCCACCATCGAGCTTTTGTCTCTTTATGGCTTCTGCATGTCTGTTGGGAGGCCCTCGGCGACGACTTGGTCGATCAAAGGTGCAGGGAATCTCGAGGGCAGCGCATGATTTACAGGGAGGACCGCTTTCATCGCACTATGCTCGTTGGTCAGCTGGCAGCTCCCCGAAGCGGACAACTGCACATACCTTGACTTTGCGAACGCTACAGCTGTCGCAAGCCTTTCTCAACCGGACTTTTGGCTCCGACGAGGGTGTACCTTGAGCCCTTGAGGGTTCTTTGGGTTGAGGTTCTGGCTCGGCGCGCGGAACAGGTAGAGGGACCTCGAACTGGTTTGCTGGGTAGCCTGAAGGGATTTGGTATGCGGTAGGATCTTCATATTTGTACGCGCTATTTGTGTCCTGCGGCTGCACCGACGGGTAGGCACTCGACTGGGAGATGGACGCCATCTCGAACGGCTTCCTAACGGCCAATATCTGGATGCAAGAGTGGACAATCCGCGGGTGAACGTCGGCACATATTATTTAGGCACAGGGTTCGAAGGGGTTTTGAGATGGGCGGTCGGCGTGGTCGGAAGCAGGGCGGCGGGTGACCTCGAATCCTCGATGGTGTGAGGAAGGAGGAAGCGGAGGTGGAGATTTGCAATCGAAGATCGAATGGCCGAGGAAGAGCGGAGGCCTGCGAGCCTGGGAGCCCGGCCACTCACACTCACCGTCACACTCACTGCCCAGGCAGTCCCCGTGCGCTCTCTGCGCGCCGTAATTAACTGCGCTTCTCGGGGACTGCGGGGAAGTGCGTGTCTTTCTGGGCCACTGCCACCACTGCGGCTCTGATAAACTGCCTTGGATCTGCCGATAGGTACGCAATTCGCAGGTTACGGATGGAGGTACGGAGTACCGTATACTGGAGAGCCTCCACAACAGTATGCAGCATAGGAGACGCGGAGACAGAGGAAGACAGCATACGAGTGGTGCGAGGGACCGAAGTAACCACAATTAGTGCCACCAATGCACCTCCAAGTCAGGGTCGAGTCAGCCAGCTCCAGATCGGTGGCACACCCACCGCGAGTGGCAATTTGTGCTTCTATCCCTGCTCTCATGGCCTGCTACATGTGGTTCTAGAACCGGCTGCAGAAGGCGAACGTTTCACGCGAATAAATTATTTATGCCAACCCTCCGTGCTATGAATGGTACGGTGTTTGCATGAAGCCGTATGGCAAGATTGACCACCACGACCTGAGTTTGCCTTCAAAATATGTGCAGCCATGAATATTTCCAAAACCTCCACGATCCAGAGGACAGAAGGGCTCGGGGTAAGTTGGCAGCCGTCGAAACGATGATTCCTCTGTCCTCCGATTTCCCCTCCAGCAATCACTGTCATAACATTGATAGAGTGAATACGGAGGACGTTTCAGTTTGAAAGAAGAAAGAGAGAAGAAGCAAAATTTCGCGTGGTGGAAATGAACTTGAGAGCGGCGCAAGGCTGAGGCTTGGCCACGAGGCTTCAAACCAGTCGCTATGATTGGCCCGTATTCTGTCACGTGAGATATGCTGCCTGTAGACTCGTCCCTCACCTGTTCTCGACATCGCTCATGGACGACTTCCTGCGATGACAAGACCCTCAGAAGCCCTTCCATAATGGCATCATCGGTATTGGATGTCGTCTGGCTGTACCCTCTCAAGGTGAGTCTGCAAATCTGGCAGGAGAAGCAAGGTCTGACCGGTTAACCTAGGGCATCCTCTACTTCATCCGACATCCCTACCTATTTCCTCTCTTCAAAGCTCGTCTCGTTCCTATATTCCTCCTCTCTGCCTTCATTTACGCCAACCTGTTCATCTGGGCGTATCTTCCGCAGGTTGCCTTCCTCGCCATCTTCCACGGACCAGGCGCCTGGCTGAATGCGACCTTTCTGGTACTGGGTGAAGGTGCCGCGATCGTCGCACTGCTCTTCGAAGCATTCTTCGTCGATGAAACACTGGTGGACACATTTGACGCTGTCCTGATCGATCAAGGGCTGGCGGATCTCGTGGGACAAGGTCGGCTTCTCGATCCTGCGGCCCCGAACTCGGTGCAAATGCTGGGGAAACCTACGACATCCGCCATCTACGCCCCATTCAGTCTCCGCCAGATTGTCGAGTTCGTAGTCCTCCTGCCACTCAATTTCATTCCTATTGTCGGTGTACCGATCTTCCTTGTTCTCACCGGCTACAGAGCAGGGCCCTTCCACCACTGGAGGTATTTTAAGCTGCTGGGCTACTCCAAGAAGGAAAGACAGGAATACATCCGGAATCGCCAGCTCAAATACACATGGTTCGGGGTCGTCACGTTGACACTGCAGCTTGTCCCGGTGCTGAGTATGTTCTTCCTGCTCACTTCTGCGGCAGGCAGTGCACTTTGGGCAGCAAAGATGGAAAAGGCTCGTCGGTCGCGTGACAATGCTACGATCTCAGGACCAGAGCCATATCAAGACAATGCGGCATGAATAGTTGAATCCAGTGACACATTGACTTGCTTCATCCCGCGTGCTTCTCCACAGCGTCAGCCACTTCCTCGAGGCTCTTCACAACAACAGTGGGTTCACGTCCCAACCGGTCCTGCCAACCCAACCCAGCTCGATCGACCCAAGCCGCTTGAAAGCCACAAGCTCTCGCGCCGACAACGTCGAAGGGGTTCCCCGATACTAACCATATTTTATCCTCCTGGCCAGCCCTGCCCACCTTTTCAGCAAGGAAGCGGTACACCTCCGGCGCTGGTTTGAAAGCCCGTACAGCGTCCACAGAGACAACATCCTGGAAGACTGAGGTGTTGAGATCTTGCGATCTGTTGACGGAGTTCGCCACCATTGTCTTCGTCCCATTTGAAAACACCACGCATTTGATGCTAGAGTTGTTCTCGAGCCGCTTCAATGCTGGGTTGACATCGGGAAAGGTTGAAAGATGGTCGTACGCATCCATGAGCTTCTGGATGTCCTGGTCACCGAGACTGACGGCATGCTCTGCTAGCGCATGCAAGAGTGATTTGCGGGTCACGACCGAGAAATCCTCATAATGTTCTCCCGGTCTATCAGCGGCTGACTCTAGCAAACAAGCTGGAGAGACCTACTCATGCTGTTCAGCCTCCAGGTATATTCGAGCTGATATTTTCTCCATACTGCAGCGATTGAGTTCGCTTTCTCTTGGCCAAAGTGCGAAGCTAATTCCTTCGCAATGCTCTCTGTCGACAACAAGGTGCCGTAGAGATCGAAGGCAACGACAATCTCACCCATTATGCTTGCTTTGAAGCCCACGCAGTCGTGCGGCACGCGGCAGATTCCTCGACTTCTGTATACAGTGAGTTGCTTACCTGAAATGAGAGCCAAAGAGATTTCATTAGAGATGAGTTGTCCAAAAGTAACAGAACTCAGAGGCCGGATGGAAACCCGATAGCGGGACATGGCCTCGATTCCAAATCAGCCAAGCCCCCAATGTTTTCCCCACAGACCTTGCCAAAAAAGTGACGCAATGCGAAGGTCAACTCGTAACTCGTACTGAGAGAGTCTACCGACGTGAGAGCCTCAGCAACCCATCTCAGCTCCTGTGACTGGCCTGAACCCTGGAAGCCCAAAGACAGCAGGTTTCGATGCCCAGATAGAGGGGTATCCCGCGCGGGCCTGGGTCTTTCTCTACTCTGTAGTCCTGCCCCTTGTCTTCGCTCACTTATCACGTATCGACTTCAGGTTTGTCATAAAGTCCTCATATGCCAACGCCACTGTAGGCAAATCGTGTTTCTTCAGCATATCCTCTTTCTGGGCGCGTCGGCGCAGGATACCACACTCGGTCAGAACCCCGTTGTAGAGCATGGCTGAAGTCACCACAGGACCACTGTGACAATCTCCCATTGCCATCTAACCGTTTCCCCCCCTGTGGTAGCGTATCGCCATATGTAGGAAGAAACCACCAGCAGGCATGACCAAAATAACACCAACCAAGGGCAAGATCCGCCCCATCGTTCGCTGGGGCACTCCGATCCTCCATCGTGTAGTGAGGGAGGTCGCTTTTGCTGAGCTTGACACTCCAGACCTGGATGCCCTGATCGCGGACATGTTCGCTACGATGTACGCGGCCGATGGCGTCGGCCTGGCCGCCAACCAAGTCGGTGTCGATTTGAAGGTGTTTGTGTACGACCTTATGGATCTGAAAGGCCAGAGGAGCCGGGGCGTGGTTTGCAATCCCGTGGTGCAGACGCGCAACAGCCCGCAGGAGGGCGGCGGCCATCATCATGCGAAGCGTGAACAGCAGCAGCAGCAGCAGCAGCAGCAGCAGCAGCAGAGCATGACGGAGGGGTGCCTCTCGTATCCGGGCGTCTCCGCCTCGGTGGCACGCCCTCGCTCAATCACGGTCCGTGGAATCGATCAACGCGGCAGGGCTGTTGAAATCGACGCCGACGGGTTGTTGGCGCACATCTTGCAGCACGAGGCCGACCACCTCAACGGCATCGTCTATGGCGATCGTGTCTCATCGCCGGAAGTGAGACAGAGGATGGACATCGACTACCAGGAGCTAGAGAGGAAGATGGCCTATCCCGAGAATTGGCCCGAGACCGGGACGAAGCAGAGGTGGATAATCTAGCTTGGGAGTCTATCGAAGCTCCCGGCAGCCGAGGCTGCAGCTACGCGGACTCTATTGACAATGGAACAAAGCAGCAGCTCGCTTGCGAAGGTCATGGTTGACTACTCTCCACTACCTTGTTTTCCCCTGTGTCATGATATTAGAAGCAGCCGCTCCAGACGCCGATTCAGGCCTGTGCGGCCAATCTTCTGTTACACGCCTTACTGCGGCGGCATCTCGCTCTGCACTACTGCTCCTTCGGCTGCCAACGTGGCGTAATAAAGCTCCGTCTCCGCGCAGATGACCATCCTGCCTTTCCCCGCAAAGTTGAAGTTCGCCGACGTGGTGCCCAAGAAGATCTTGCCTAACAGCGTGCCCGAGGGATTGTACACGACCACCCCATCACCCACCCCAGAATACACATTGCCGTCTGTGTCGCAGTGCACGCCGTCGGGAATTCCGGGACTCACATAGCTAAAGAGTTTGCGGTTCGACCACGTCCCATCCTCGAGGACAGTGTATTGGTAGCTAGGTGCAGATCGCAAGTTGTCAGTCAATACATCTTTGCGCACAGAAGCACGAACGAGAACGAGTGTGGGGTGATCCCTCAGGGCTTTACTCACATAGAGGCTGGGGCTGTCATGTTATACCCGAAATTCGAATATTGGGCGCCTGTGTCGGTCACGTAGGCGTAAGACCCATTGGGAGAGAATGTAATGCCTAGCAGTCACATTAGCCAGTCCCTCGTGGCCAAATATCCGATCTGAATGCATGCGGCAAAGCACTCAGAATTCAAAGGCAATGAACGTACCGTTAGGTAACTCAAACCCATCCGCCACCGTCGTGACTGCGCCTGTTGAAGGATTGAACCTGTACACTTGGTTTGGCAGTTCTGGGGACGGTCGGAAGTCTTGGAGGTAGCCGTAGAGAGTATCGGTGAAGTATACATCGCCATTGCGGGGGTTCACCGCAACGTCGTTCAACGAGTTCCATTGACGACCGAAGTAGTTGTTGACAAGGACTGTCACGAGCATCAATTCAATGAACTGTCCGAAAGACCCCGAGGGGTCCCCAGGGCGTCCACTTACTAGAGGTGTTGTATGGGGGCTCTGGGTTCATAACGTACAGAGCGGGTGCTGTATTGTTGCCTTGACCCTCCCCAGTAAAGAGAAGTTGACCACGATATAGAGTCGCTCCTGCATGGCTCGTTAGGCTCTCGGGAGACAATAGAACGGGAAGTTCGCTAGAGGGAGATGCGGACCATTGGAATTGATCACTGGTGGCGTAGCATTCACCGTCTGGACTTGAACCTGTCCGCTGGCATTTCGCATGGATGCTACCGCAGCAGCTTGACTCAACGCAATCTTTTGGATGATATTGGACTTGTTCAGACCCGTACCAGCGGCCGCAGCTCCAGCATTTTGCACAAAGAAGACCTCGTCCTGCAAAGACGTCAAATGGGGACCTGGTATTTCGGAGTTTGAGAGGAACGTCAATAAAGGAAAGGCGACCGCGACCACGACCTCAGTCGTGTCCGCGCAGACGATTGTCCATTCCACCATGAACTCTCAACATAAGGCCAACTTACGGTCGGAGGGTACCTGTAATAGGACGTCAGTTCTTCGTTCATGCCAAAACAAGGAGCCAGCGAGACTCTCGCACTTACCAGACAACAGCTTCGTGGAAAAGTGGGTTGGTCCCTTGACTGGCAAGGACGGTCAACGTAGGGTTTGGCCCGATTATATCGTAGAAAGCACTGGAATCGCGTCAGAAGCGTCCCATCTCCACTAGAGCTGAGGAGCAGGGGAAGGTTAAGTAGACCAGAACAGCCAACTCGACCTGAGAAGGTGGCCTTCCCAACATCCGCTTCGTTGATGAGGGCAACTTACTCATCGTAGACATGGAAAGGTTTGTCTAGGGCCTCTTCCAGCGTGATTCCAGGTGGCACAAAGATCTTGGAACACGATTAGGAAGTCGAACAGGACTGCAGCTTTCGTGCCTTACCGTCGTCAGGTTGGACTGCGAAGGAGGAGGAACCGGTCTCAGGACATTGAAGCTCCGTTGATCTACCACTAGAACTTGACTAGAGTCGGACTGGGCTGTTGCCAAAGTGATAAGAGAAGCGAGACCGCTGAAGAGCGGCGGAAGTTGCATGATGGCCAGACTGTGTCTGCAAACTGCGTATCGGCGTATGTGGAAATGGGCTGAAAGCTTTGAGCAAGCATTCTGGCAGCTATTTAAGCTCCTTCGTTCCTGGCGCTGGCTGTCGAGACCTTGTCATCCCATGCACGCTGAACCCCGCAGACCGCAGACCGAGTCGTCATTTTCCTCGAGCTCTGGGTGATGGGCGCGTGATGCGAAGCTCACCCCGGCGCTGTCTTGACGATCATTGGTAGCTAAAGACGAGATCTGACTGCTTCCATACCTCGCTGTTCCTGGCCTGACCCCGCACTGTGCAATCAGGCGTCATGTTTTCACCAAGCTGTGACCCATCTTTGAGCTGTCCTAGCACTCAGTAGGTAGCAGAGAAGGCCTCCAATGAACCGAAGCAGGGAGCAGCTAGGACAAGCAAGAGGAGTGTATGCGCAACTTTCATTGGTTCATCAGGACGTGCATCGGCGCAAATCCGGCCGAAGCCGATATGCGGGGAAAACAGCCGAAGGTGCCCTTTGTGCGTGCACGTGCGTGCGCGTGCGTGCCAGCCAAGTTTGAACGGGCCTCTACCTCGTACCTCGTACTATGGAACTGGGTGTCACTGGTCGCTCTTATTGCTGATGCCAATCCTCCGCAACAAGCGCCGCAAAATCGCCGGAAATCCTAGTGAGCCCGACATCCCGAAGACGTCTCTGTTGCACTGTCAAGTTCCTGCGCATCATGTACATGTTCACTTCCTCAAGCTACTTCCCATGTTCATAGAAAGGAACCTCCTCCTCTCCTCGGCCGTGAGAGTGGACGTAACATAATCGCGTGGATTTTCTTTGGGAACTCCTTTTTGACCCATTCTTCCACCTTGGCAGGAGTAACCTTATGCCATGCAATATCCAGGTCCTTCGAGACCTTGTCTTTCAACAAATCAAAGGTGCCAAGCCATCCTCCGTCCTCCGGGGCTTGTCCGCCTTCGAAGAAGGCCGCCGCCATCCTGCTCTTCTCCTCTTCGGCACGCTTTAACGCTCGGTCTATGCCGTTGACCATGGCTTGTTTGTTGTAGCTCTGAGGCTTCATCCAGTTTGCTACCGTGCGATAGTCCAACTGGAATCCACCTTCGTCGTAAGTAGGAGAGCCTTTGGGTCCTTCATCAAAGCATATGTACAACTCATGGAAACTGTGGGCAATGTTCCTTTTGGCACCTTCGCGGAACATCTGGTCCTTTTCGTATGCGTTCAAGCATCCTTTTGCCCTTGGACGCTTCGGCGGCGGGCCTTTGAACAAGTCCTTTTCCTCTTCTGTGAGTTCATTTTCAGGTCGACGAGGCAAAAGTACTCGTTCCGGGGTGGGGCGGGGGTCTCGCAGTTGGCTTCGATCCCATTCGAACTCAAGATCTTTCCTCGTCCTTTTCCTAGAAACCTGAGGCTCATTCAAGCTGCTTTGGTCTTTGGGCTCGTTTTCTTCACGTGCCTGCTTCAGGTTGGTGGCATTGCCTTCGTCGCGCTTTTGATGGCCAGGCATGCGTCTCTTCTCGGTCCCCGAAGCGTCCAGCTTCGTCTTCTCTGCATTAGCTTGTTTGCTGTGGTTGCCTTCCGTGGTCGACTTGTCGACTTCTGCACCGCCACGGCAGGTAGTCCTGAGGTGGGGTTGACAGTTTCTTTGTTTGCAGGGTCGTGCAATTCATTGCGCTTGAAGGTCAGGCGCTTTGTCGCATTGCCGGTGGCTTGATCATTTGCCTTGCCTGAATGTTTTCCATTACGGAGCACGACCATGGTTGAAGAACGTCTGATGGGTTATGAGAACTTGTACAAGTATTCATCTGATTCGGTGAGAGATCTCAGTCACAGCAAATCGTGACGGGACCGGCAGTCTTGTAGCAGAAAGCAGGCGAGAGCTGGCTCCGGACGCGAACTGGTTACATGTACCAAGCCAGCCCGCGTCAGAGCGATGATGTCATGGGGGTACGCGAAGTCACGTGGAGCACCTACGGGCGGAAGTTTTCCCTTCGTCCTTCGATCTTCGCTTAACGGTCGTGCAAAGGACGAAGTAGACGACTCATACGACTCCTACGAGCCCGCACGACTCTCGATGGCATTGAGATATATTGATTGAATAAGGGGAGTCGAATGCCTGATCAATAGAAGTCACTTACCAGCCACATCGAACGGCAATGGCCAAAGAATCTCTCATCGCCATGACCAAGCGGCTCAGGTCTGCTTTTGTTGCTTAAGACAATCTTGTAACAAACTTGATTCCATTTCCAACATTGCGTTGAACCAGTATTGCAACGGCGCAGGGCCTACACGGTACGGATTCGTACAGTTGACAACGAAAGCATGTCCTTCAACCGATCTCAGGGGCCGAAGCGAGGACCTTCAGGCCGTGGAAAGCTATACAATTATGCATCGTCGTCATCATTTACAAATCAATTCGCCGAAAAGAAGTTCGACCCTGAGAGCGGACAGGTTTACTCTGAAGTCGAGGTTCGCGCAAGTCGTACCAAGCATCTGGATTGGATCCGCGAGTTCAGTACGCCCCGTGCGGTCATAAAACCTGCGCCGAGTGCCAAGGGTGCTCGTTCTCTGGCGGATGTGGCAAGGGCCAAAGTGGTCACAGAGTTCTCCAACCTAGCACCAGAACACTTTGCGAGCATACCGTGGACGATGGCGGAGAACATCTGGGAACACGTAGTGGCAACGTATGGCCCGCTGTACCGCCGCCACAAGACAACATAAATAACATCTGTATAGGCGAGCTGAAACCTTCCATGCGTGGAGAACTCTCGCCGCAGTGTATTCCGAGGCGGAGGAGTTCGGGCAACGGCGCTATCGATACTTCATACGCCTCAAGCAACCATCGCTGCCATTGACGGATTACTACAGGGGCATCGCATCCCCCGAGTTGAAATGGCTCACCTGTCTTCGAGTCTGCCCCCAGCAGCTGCTCACCCAAGATCTCGTGTCCGTCCACACAATCACGAATCTTGCAGTTCTCGACGTTTCTAACACGGGCAATGAGTACAGCGAAGTCGGCTCGAGCTTCGACGAACGACTCATGTTGTCATGGACACAACTTGCGGCCTCAGGGCAAGCATTCCAGCACCTCCGGGTTCTGATGTTTGGCTGGCAAGCAACCTTGGACCGATGGATATTCAAATATACGCAACGTTTCCCGTCTCTTTGCCATATCATTGTAACTGATTGTCCACACATGCATCAAAAGAACAGGGCTGTGTGGGAGAAGGCCTCTCAAACAGCGGGGTGGGAAGCGAGACACGCAAAGCGGAGTGCTAAAAGCCTCCGACCTATAATCAGAAGCGAACACTTCCACGCTGGCTCAATATCAGGGTGCTACTACGAGAGTCAAGACTTGTTCAGCCAGTTGGCCCACAGCAGACGACCCATTCTTACGCAGCAACTTCCGATACTTGAGATCTGGTTGGGGACTCCACGTCCATGGTCACATATTGTCGACGATTTCCCTGGTACGTACGCTCCTTGATGCCTCGAAATTGTATCTTGACAATCCCAAATTGCTCATGTGGAGAGGAATCTCGTCTCCCCCTTTGTTTTTGAGCTGGTTCCCCAACACTTGGTCGTACTGGGCTTGGTTCTGACGGCTCTCTAGGCCATCGGACGATCTGGTTCGACAGGGTTTCTACGCCGAGGCAGATGGGCACGGAGGAGATAGGAGTGGGCAGCAATTGTGAGCAACCAAAGAGGAGCAGGAATGAAGAACAGGCAGCTCCAGGAACGGCATCACCTCCACCAAAGCGTGGCCCAACGACCAGACCTGCGATGAGGCCGGTGCGCAAGAATCTGGCGGACATGCTTCAGGAATTCAAGGCTTGAGTATGTACAACTGCATCGCAAGTGTGTCCAGAGAGGTCATAGAGGGTAGTATGCTTATATGTGAAGACAATTGCACACGGATCTACGAATCTCCTCGAACGTGTTTAGATATAGTCGTCGGTTATCGTGGGCTCGGGGCCTGCCTGTCGCTGGCGCCTTCAGCTTCTCTTGACTGTGGCACTGAGACAGGCAATGACGTCCACGTCTCGTAGCAAATGACGGGGCACAAGACCCTCTACTGCGTTCTGGGAGACCCTCACATGATTTGCTCCGCTGTGAAGACACGAGAGATTATCATTTTCTAGATCTCTCACTCGTCGGCCATCACCACGAAGCAGCTGAAGCAGTCAAGCTGCCATCAAACATCACACCACTTCTGCGGCCGAAGTTGCGCCCCCGCGGCCAATTGAGCCACGAACTCGTCTCCACTTCGACCTCCATTCCATCGCTCGCTTGCTCGATCGCAGCCTGCCGCCAGCGAGATACGAACTGATACATTGTGCCCAGGCAATATGTCGACGCCCGGCCGGGACCCACCGGTAAATAGCCCTCCTTCAGCAGCTATATCTTCGCGGTCCAGCATGGAGTCGCCGTCCACCGGCAGCAGAACACCTTCCCTACGCATTCCGTCTATGCCCAGTGCGGCGGCCCAACATCGTCAGAGCTTCCACGAACTACGAGGCCATCCTCCCTCACCACGGTCCTCAAGACAGCCGTCTCTATCCCACATTGCCGTACAGGACCTGATTGACAATCCGCCCATGCGGAACCCAGACCCCAGGTTCGCGGGGAGGAATTGGCAGGAAGTCAAGGTCAAAGAGTTGGTCAACCCAGATGATTTGAGGTTTGTCGAGATTGACACCGCCGTTGAGGCTGCCACAAATGTACGTTAGCGCATCCACTCCTTGGGCGGAACTGGTACTGACCACAATAGCTACTCATTGAGTCAGGCGCCCCGGTTGTCCTCATCCGCGAGCAGGCCGGGTCGCCCGTCATTGGGACATTCGACCACCGAGATCTCAACGCCTACCTCTTGCTTGTGGTGGGCCTGCTACGGCCCGAAGACGGAGAACATGCCCAGGAATTCCTCGAGCTGGCACAGCGTGCGCGGGAAGGCAAGCGTATTCACCTGCGAGAAATCCAGGATCTGAGCAAGAAGGAGCCGTTGACGTTTCTGGACGAGAACTCGGACCTGATCAAGGCGATTGAGACGTTCGGCAAGGGAGTCCACCGCGTGGTGGTGAGGAATGAGACCACCAAAGAAGCCACCGGCCTGCTCAGCCAGAGTCGCCTGATCAGGTTTCTCTGGGAAAATGGCAGGAGTTTCCCCGTGCTCGACCAACTGTACCTCCAGAATTTACGCGACCTGAAGATTGGGTCCAACGACGTGGTGGCCATCAAGTATGTTGCAATGGTATCCCCCATACTGCCATCCTGACTGACATGCTTTCTACCTTTAGTGGCGACCGGCCTCTCTTTGAGGCGCTCACTCTCCTTCTAAACGAGGGCGTCTCCTCGCTCCCGGTCATCGACCACAATTACAACGTCATTGGCAACATCTCGAACGTCGATGTCAAGCTTCTCACAAAATCCTCCTCCCTGCCACTTCTGCGGAACACCTGCATTCACTTTATCACCGTCATCCTCTCCACCCGGGGAATGTACGAGGGAAAGGATTCCTTCCCCGTCTTCCACGTCACCCCCCTCTCCACACTCGCTCACACAGTTGCGAAACTTGTCGCCACCAAATCGCACAGGATGTGGATCACCGAACCCGTCTCGCCATCCTCCTCCGGCCCGCCTACTCCGTCCTTACATTCTGCGACCCTGGTTCCCACATCCAGCCACTCGTCATCACTCTCGCAAGCCAGCGGCGCAGGGCATGTCTTGACGCCTCCCGTCGCCACGACGACCCCTTCGTCAGATCCGTTCTCGACCTCGCCCGGCACAGTGGTAGATTCCTCGCCAAAGCCGCCGTTCATAGCACCTACAGGCCCGTCCATCTCCGCCTCATCATTACCCGGCGCGCGCATCTCAGGTCGGCTGGTCGGCGTCGTCTCCTTGACCGATATCCTCATCTTGTTTGCCCGCGCGGGTGGTCTCGTGGATGTGGCAGACCCGAGCGAGATCAGGATGCGCCGCCGACGAAGTAGTTCCAGCAGTGTCAGGAGAAGTATGGATCTGGGACAACGGCCCAGCGTCAGCAGTGGGAACAGCGGGCTCCGACCGAGCGGGGAGTTGTCGCGAAAAGGAAGTTCGGCCAAGGGGTGAGATGGGAAATTGAGGCATGATGCCTCCCATTTCGTTCGTGGCAACAGTAACGGCGTCCAATTGAAAAAAAAGGAGTATCGTCCTGCGATTAGAGGAAGGCCGCTGAGTCCTGAAATGCCATCATACGCGGTCGGTCAGACTGCTTGGGAGCGTTGTCTACCTCACTCATCGGACTGGACCGATTGAACCGAGTCACAGCCACACACTTGTATGGCGCTCGTCGCCCCTCATACTCCGTACAGTGTCAACGGCATGGGGCGGCGCGGGAACCTGGGATATCGGCGCAGACGACGACGCAGCAGCAGCAGCAGCGGCGGCGGCAGAAGTCCACTAAAAGTCAAAGATAGAAACCTGAATACGCTTACCTACAGTAGATACCAGCCCGAACCAAGACGAGTTTTTTGAACGTTCATATGGAGGGCACCTCTGACTGAGCCATTGCAGTTTGGTTAACCGGCGTGTGCCTTCGTGTACGTGTACAGTGTACACGTATGTTTTCGTGTCCGACGTTCTCGCCCGTCAAGACTTGAACCCATTCATCATCTTCGATTCACTGCTGCCACACAATCACGGTCCCAGATGACGAGCGCAGACTCGGCTCGCCGCACAGAGCTTGCGTATGTATATGACTACAACCTCGAGATGCATCTCGACCATGTCAGCCCATTCTCGCACGGTCCCAGTGGAAGTCAGGGCCTTATAGTCGGCTTTAGCAATCAGATGTGGAAGTCGATAATTACCTAAGGCATCACAAGGCTCAACTGTGATACCGTATGTACTGGCGCGTGGGCAAGTTGAAAGGCGATGTGCTCTCGAAACCCATGATTAGAGACAGAGAGGAATGTTCTCACTTTCCGGCCCACTAATCATACCGAATACTACTGTGGTTTGATCCATCCTCTGGCGAGGTCATCCCATGTTTGATCATCCGGCCTTGGTGCACTCCGATCCACGAGCACCATATATTATATTGGGCCCGTGCCGCGCGTATTCCATCTACTATACTATACCCGAACCCTCGACTGGGAACCTTTGATATGTCCCAGCCCATAAAACTGCCATGACCCATTCCTGGACCTCGCTTCATTATTTCTAGGTATCCAAAATATTGAATCCAGGCCCGTCTTTTTGCTATCTTCCCGGGTTTCATGTCGTTAGACGTGACAAAATTACCCAAGACTTAAAATCGCAGAAATCAATTGTGAACGGCCATTGTTTCTCATTTTTCAGGTGCACCGAGAAACCCAAAGAAAGTGAATGATTCGCCAGAACGCCAGACTAGTCACTTTAACAACCACAAAACAAATGGAGGGAATCTCAAGCGCCATGCTTTCGATCCATCTCGCCTCCGGATCCAATCTCGACGCTGCGAAGATTGCTGCCGGGCATGGCGTCAACCCCAGGCATACCGTCACCGCCAGGCTTATTGTCATCACCAGGTTTGCTGTCAGCACCAGGGCGGTGGGTCTCTTTCGCGCTATCCTCCCAGCTACCGTCCATGACGAAGTGGTCCCAGAAGCCCTCGCCGGCAGGGGTCACCTGACCTGAACTGATGGCCATGTCGCCAGCTATTGCGCTGAAGGCGGGCTCCTTGCTTTCTTGACTGAATTTGAAGTCAAGACCGGCACTAGGCAGGGCATCGGTGACTGCTGCAGGGGCAGAAGTGGGTCCGCTGCCTGATGTCGAAACAGTGGTGCCAGGTTGCCTTACGATATAGTCGGCATTCTTCTCTAGTGCCGCCGGTGCCAGTGTCGCTGACATACCCGGATATGCTGACGGGTGGACTGGCATACCTTTGATGCCGCCGTGCATGTTCTGCCAGGGGTAGTAGGGATCGTTGATGAACTGCTCTGAGCCGTGCATTAGCATGGCATAGTCTGGATCCCTGACGTCGAAGCCTGGTGCTTGTGCAAGCATCTGCTGGGACTCTGGTGGCAGCGAAGTTGTGAAAGGTCCCATGTCTCGCCAGAAAGGCATAGGTCCATTCGATCCCGATCCGCCTTGAGGGAGTGTCGCTGACTGGGTTTGACGTTGATATTCCGGATCTGCTTTCAATCCGTCTGTTTGGATTTGTGGACCTGACGAGAGATCAGGATGAACCGAGGACGGCGTCGACAACCTCCGATTATCCGTTGACAGCTGTTGGACGGAGGCGGACGGAGATCTCATCCCTTGAGCTGTGGGCATCGCTTGCATTGAGAAGGCTCTGCCATGTGCCTGGCGGAAGCTGGGGTGATGCGGTGAGGGATATGGTGCGGGACGCTGATATGCGCTTGGCGATTGAACCATGCCCTGCTGCTGAGGGAGCATAGGGGACGGAAACATACCAGCGCTGCCTTGATAACCGCGACCGGGATGTAGGCCATATGGGCCTTGGACCATTTGCTCCATTGCGGTTCGCATCGCCACCTGGTTTGTCAGATATGCGGCCAACCGTCTATTGAAGTCGGCCGAGCCGGTTTGCAAATGCTCCGTAAGGCGCCTGTACTGCAAAGGCAGATCATCGTCCTCCTCTTCATACATCTCTTCATTGATGACATCTTGCTCAGTTACTCGGAGTGACCGGCCCGTCCGTCGTTTGTGTATTTCAGATGCTCTCCGAGCAGATTCTACTCGAGCCTCCAGGCTTCGATCACTTCTTCTCGAGGCAGCGATATATGCTCTTTGGGAATGTCAGCGAGTACCCAGTAACTCTTCACGGTAGAGGACGCTGACCTTTCCTGGTTCTCCTCGTGAGTCCGTTCAGTTTTGACGGCCTTTGCAGGCGGTGTATTTTTCATCGGCGGCATCCTGTCGATGATGTGAAGGTCAGGCAGGGGATTGATCGTGCTGACAAGCCAACGAGCTGTTAGATCTGTTGCGGCGTCGAATCCCCAGAATCTGTGGTGCGTTATATCTGAAGCTCGGTCGATACTGCTGAACACGTGCGGGTTAAGAATAAGTGGCGGATATGTCAAGAACAAGCGATACCGTGCAACTGAATCGGGCGAAGACCTGGATCCGATGGGATATATGTAATACTGTGGAAAGGCTGTTTAGGACCTGTCTCGAGGACAATTGGTTATAACAGAGGAGATGCGGGTGGCGAACCAGGGACTTGATGTACTGGCGCCGTAAGAAGACAGCCGATTCGAGGCGGACAGCCTAGGATGAACAAGCCGTTTATTTTTCCAAGATCAATTCACAACCGCAGCAGCTCGCCCAGCGATGGCAAGATCGGTTAGAGGAACCACGCCGATATGTGGGTTTAATTGGTAAGAATGAAACAGCTGAACGCGGAGGCGACTGCCATGGATTCAAGCGGAGGAGACCCTGGGATCTGCTGAGGTGTACCATGTAGATCGCGAAAGAAACGGTGGCTGAGACGTGCCAGCGACGGAACAGAGCTCTCGTGGAGTCGTCGTTCAGGAGGACGCCATGGCACATCAACAGTGGAAGCGGCTGTGGTTGGTTACCTCGTGGGCTCCCGCGGCACCAGGTTGTCACAATGGAGCAGGGGAATCGTACTACCCAGTCGAGAAAAACTCAAAAAGATGCGAAAGGTCGAGGAGCAGGGCCCCGGAGAGCGGGAAAGGATGGGGCATGCAGTGACATGGTGGTTGCGCGGTGATTGTTCATTCGCGATTGAGTCCCTGCCGCTCGATGGATACTCAGCATGCCTGAGTACCAGCCAGAGCCACTAGGACCGAAGCGGCAGGTGAGGCACGGGTGAGAGACAGGTGAAGGGCCGATAAAGTTGACTGGGCTGGGGTTCTGAGATGCCGAGTTTTTCAAAGAAGAAGCTAGGGGGGCAGCGATCGCGGCAGCCAGATTGAGCCAACATTGGTCCGATGCCCCAGCTCCAAGAGTCGGTGCTACTTTTTCCGGCGGGTGTTTGATCCGCTCATCGACGCGACTTGCCCCTCCCGCTCGGGACTCGTACACAGTCGATGTGCGAGGGTGCTGCACGCCTTGTCTGTGCCTCTCTGCCGACCCAGCCTGGATTGAAATAAAGTCTATATCCCGCTGCGGTTACAGATGCGACGGGCTCGAAGCGTGACCCGGAGATGTCATCCACCTCTGTATCAAGGATCCCTTGACAGCATTTCTGTCGTCATGGGCGAAGCCTCGACAACGGCTCGGAATACGAGCAGAGGCCCGATGAAGACCCGATCTTGGCCTCACCGGCTTGCGACCCGCATCGAACTTAGCGCCGATTCTAGCGCTGTCCGCGAATCTTTTCCTTCTAACGGTCTACCCAGGACTGGCTGCTTCGACAGCTCTGACAAGAGCCTGATCTCATCTCTGCTGATCCCGTAACAACCTTCCCGTGTTCTACGGTACTCGCACTGGGTAGGATGGGTCGCGCGCATCCTCGAATCAGAGCACTGTTGTCATTTTGGGTATAGACAGAGGTTTCTTCACCGCCGGCACAGTCGGTGATTAGGACACAACACAGACCACTGTGTAGCATATAAACGTATTGGAATGTTCCCGAAAAGGAGTCTCTGCGATCCCACGGATACGTACGCAGGATAGTCTGTCTCAGATCGATCGCCGTTCGCACTTTACCGGCTGATCGGACCGAAGGTAGGCACAGCTAAAAGATCCATGGAGCCACACCGAGCTGGGTCTACCAGAGAGCCGGCTTGTGGAAATCCGGGTGGGATTATTATTTCAAATAATCGGCAGGTTCCCTGGCGAAGACTGTGGAGGCAACCAAAGTTTGTGTGTCTGCAAAGGCATAAAGCGCTGAGGTCGTGCCTCTCACGCCTCAGATCGCTGTGAAATCGGCGATCTCTTGCATCCTCACCAGAAATCCAGGAGAAGGCCCGCAACCTCCCCAAACAAGGTCTCGAGTCCTTGTTGCGGCTGCTCGTATTCCCTCCACAGTGACGCACAACCATCCCTCGTGATATTGCTGTGCACACGGTGGAGTCCAGTGCATTCACACCCCTTCGTCACAGCCCCTTCACCCTGTCTTTTCGCTGCTCGCCACGATCGAAACATAGCCCAGGGTCAGGGCCTCTACGAGATCGGATCTCTGTCTGGATCTACTACCCGGTGCCGATCGATTGATCACCGCGGATCACTTCTCAAAGGCATCCAGTTCTCCCTTTCTTCTCTCCTCGTGGGTCTCGTATTTTTCCTCCTCTGCACTGTGGAGATCGTCCTGCTTCGGTTTATGTTATCTGGCACGACCAGGTATGACGAGGTACCTGTCACTCCTGGCAGCGTCATTGCAAAGCGTAGACCCCTTGACACTTTGTGGCGAATGGCGGAACTTGCCTGAAGTGGACAGCACGGAGAAATCTGGGAGGGCGCATCGAGAAGCACCCCGCTCGGGCCATCTCCATGGGAATGTTTGAACTACGGACGAGGTAAGACCGGTAAGTCGCGTCTCGCTTGCGCGTGATGCTGCCGATTGCATGCAGCGAGACTCCGGAGCTCCGGATAAACTATAGGATACTTTCCAATGCCGTTAACTAACCCCAAGCGGTGGCACGTTGCCCTGCTGCTCCTGAGGTTGTCCATCCAGGGCATAAGACACTTTGAACCGCATTTTGACCTGGTTTCCTTTCCCCACTGGCACGCCGTTCAGTAGAACCTCCTGCTGGACGGCGTGCCGTGTTGTAGGGGCTAATTCGCGACTACTTTGAGGCCTAAGTTGGAGCGTGTAACTTTTCTCCACCGCAACTTGAAAATGCAACCCAGTAATCCGCTGTTGCGTCGTGTTGGAGAACCGTGCCGTGATCTGGATCACTGCTTGCCCTGCCGGCCTTCGCGCTTCGAAATCGATCTCCAGAGAGCCCGACAGAACCTTGATTGTCTGTGGTTCCGGCAAGGCCGACTCGAAAGTCCAGTCATCTTCAGCGGGCACCAAAGTACCTTGGTTCACTGCTGCCGATGGCTGTGACGCTGGTTGAGAAATGTTGGTCGGCATCGAGGGGGTAGAAGAACGTGAACCAGCTGACACCAGTGCTGCAAAAGGATCAGCCAGGACTTGCGTCGATGGACGTGCTGGCTGTTGTTGCTGTGCCATGGGAACTGGAGTTGCGGATTTTGAAGTTGGAGGAGGGCTAGTGAGAGAGGCAAAAGCATTATAATTCGGCTTAGGCGATGGCTGAGGCGATGTGTGAGGAACAGATGGCTGGGTTGACAAAAGACTCGAAGGCGCATTCGAGAAGATGGAGCCTGAAGGTGCTGAGAACCCCGTGCTAGGCCCAAGTGATATGGCTCCCAGTGAGCCAGCGCCTGCATCGTCCAACGAGAGCCCTAATAAGTCATCCTCGACTGTCTTCGGTCTGGGTTGCGTGGTGGATGCTTCTGTGCCGGTGTCGAGAAGGGAGCCGTTGGTACCAGAACTCGACGATACTCCCGCTGGCGGCGCGGCTGGGGGTTCTGGGTCGAAATCAATCAACGATAACTCATTCGCTGCATTTTTGCCAACACCAGTGGTCGTCCCCAGGGTTCCCTTCGCGATTCTGTTGGCAGCCTCGATATCTCCGGCTTTCATCAACTTGTATCGCTCAATCGTCCGGTGTATACTGTCGTTGATTTCCAGGAGCTTGGCCACCGCTTCGGCGTCGTCTGACTCCTCTTCGCACATCTTTTGGATTTTGGGATGAGCACTCTGAAGCGCGCTAGCAAGTTCCTGGGCCTTGTCAGCTTGTTCTGGCAGAGGCTCATTCTGGGTGTGGTACCTCGAAAACATCACCGTTACCAATCTTGTCGCCTTGTTTCTGGCTCTGTAGCATCTCTTCCAATATCTTGGCTTTCTGTTGGACTTTTGCGACCTCCTCTGCTGCTTTCGCCCGATAATCTGTCTTGTGCCTTGTATCGTAGCCAGCCATGACTTTCATCAACCTGTTCGCTTCTTGGAGATCTTGAGGTCGTCCTCGCCGGATCAGTTCCTGGAGCTTTGCCGATTGAGCCGCTCGCTCCTCTTCCTCCATTTCCTCTGCCGATTGAAGATTCTGCAACGTGTCAGTAGGTGCTTCCTCCGAATGGGCGAGACAAGGTATACATCGCTTGGGTTCAGAACCGCTACATCTTCGCTGCGCACCTCCGGGAACATGTAGCCCTTATACAGCAGTAGCCTGTGCATGTCCCTGATGAAGCCCAGATCTTCCTTATACCTGGAAGTCTGGCATATTGTACTCCGCCATTCCTCGATCGCTTCCAGTATCTTGGCTTGCACCCGACTTGGTCGTATCGGAGGCCGTTCGGGAAACCGTCGAACGAGTTCATTGAGAAACTCTTTGGTGCTGATCTGGAGGTGGAAAGGATAACCGCAGTTCTTGACGCAATTATCGAGCAGTGAGAGCGCTAGCAAGGAGACATTGGGGTTTCGGTGGTTGATGAGCTGGACAATGGTGACTGCGGCCTCACGAGGCGCATTGCCCTTTTTGGAGTTGATTAGGTCGACGATCTCGAGGTTCAAAGCCAGATTAGGTTCTAGGTTGGCGATGGGGTCGCAAGCGTTGTATATGAATCTTTGTAGAGTTGATCGAGGTGGTGCGAACCCCTCGAAGACGAACTGGTTTCGTGAAGCCATTCTGGCCGATGTGGCTTCCATCGTCCGCCTCCTTCCGACGGAGCAAGCGAGCTCGGTCGAATCCCGCCGCTGGAGAAACGTACTGTGGTAGCTGAGGTCTGGTAAGTTAGAATGGCGCTACAGATTGCCTTCGCTTCGTGCCAGCCTGTGCCTACCTGCGACTGCCTTGCGGAAATCCTTGGCAGCCTCTCGGAGAAGTAAGCGTTGCAACGAAGCAAAGCGCGAGGGGTAAAAGCGGAGGGGCTCAAATAC